GGAGAACATGCAAACTCCACAACGACACGGGGAGAACATGCAAACCCCACAACGACACGGGGAGAACATGCAAACTCCACACACATGTAACCCAGGCAGACACTCAGACTTAAAGATTTATTAAGATTTCTTTAGAAGATGCTTTAATCCATATATCATTATCAATTATTATTACTATTATTATTATTATTACTGTTATTATTATTGTTATTATTGTTGTTATTATTATTATTACTATTACTGTTATAATAATTATTATTACTGCTGTTATTATTATTACTGTCATTATTATTATTATTATTATTATTATTATTATTATCATCATTCCCCCCCTGCTCACGGGGGCTCACCGCATTAGCCTGTAACTCGTCCTGATAGTCGGTAGGACTGAAGTGTCCCAGCTGCCCCCACTAACGTTTGAAGCTAATTGGACTTGTTGCGTGCCGCGGGTTGATATCTGCCCTCCGCTGACCTTGGAGACGCGCTCCGTCTGTACGGCGGGGCGCCAGGCCCTTCAGAGAGCCCGGCCAGGGCTTGCGGCCTGACGGCGGAGATGAAGATGGTCCTGCATCCCAGCCTTTTTCATGTCTCCTAAATGAATCTCTCAGCTGCTCATACACACACACACACACACACACACTGTTATAGTGTCATTTTTTAATGACCTCTGGGGGATCAATGATTAAAATTGTTTAATTATCATACATTAACTGCTATTATAACAGAAATCCTATATGTCCATTTCTAAGTGTTTTAATTTCTGCGGTTCACTAGTGAAGTTTCTACTTCCTGTGCTCCGCAAACTAAATGTCTTTCCTGCTTCTCTTTCCGCATAAAGAAAAAGAATAAAAAATAAGCTACAGTAGCTGAAATGCGATGCCGATATTTCACGGTGACTTAGGCCATGCGGTGTAAAAGGGCATTAACTTGTCACGAGGAAGGGTGTCAAAGAGACGTCAGCTTTGGCTGAGGGGGCAGAGTGTCCGTAACAAGGGGCATCGGGGTGGGGGGGGGGGCATGGGGAAAGGGACGTGGTCCGGGGGCTAAGAGGAAACAGAGGGGCTTTGCTGTAAGAACTGAGCTTGGAGTTTAACCTCCATAATCGCATTTTGTGTTGCATCCTGTGCTGACAAAGAGTCTGAAGGGAATTTCACGGAGCTGGATGTCAGGGCCGGGTTACACTGCATGGGTTACACTGCATGGGGTACACTGCATGGGGTACGCCAGCGCGCCGGAAGAGAGCCAGGGCCACGAAGGGGTTAATCGGAATCTGATCAGTATGGGCACCGGGGCTTCCTGTACGTTCAGTCAGTGACTGCTTTGGTTGGGGCAATTTTCTGTCAATAAGACACCTAGAGATACACACAAAATGTCAATGCTCTATCATATATTCAGACCAACATCATCATAGTGCCTAACTGCAGCAGCTAGACGAGCTTTGGTTACTCTCCCGAGCACTCGACCTCCACTTTTTCAAGTTAGCATCCTGGATGTCAGCCATGTTGAAAAGATCTGCACAGCAATCTGACGTCCTGGAGCCCAAATGAGATATCAGCAGTGGGGGTGCGATACGAAATCTCATGGTTATTAGTAACCCACCATTGATAGCCCTGCCCATCACAAATAGCCCCACCCATAATTAATAGCCCTGCCCATCACTGATAGCCCCGCCTACTAATGAGAGTCCACAGTCTTTCAGCTCCATAGACATTTCACTTTTCCTAATTCACACCCTGCAGGCGGACACCGCGCCTTGAGAACGCTTCAATTTCATCCTGCCATTCTCCCGACTCAAAGTATCCATCATCCCCCCCCCCCCCCCTCACGAAACCGCGGTGCCCCTCCTGCTGACAGGTGGCCCGTGAGGCGTGGCGCAGTGAGATTTGCAATTACGGAGCAGGCAGTGCGTCAGAGCATGCAGGAAGCATGCGCCTCACTGGCGGCCCCAGCATTCCACACGCAGGGACAGGGCGGGGGCTTGCAGCTGGCAGGCAGGCAGCTTAGATCCCCCACCCAGGCCTCTCCAAGGGCCTTGCAGTGGCCGATCTTCTTCTTCTGGACCTTTTCCATATTGTCTTTCCCCACTGGGGAGATCGGTACTCCTCTGCTACAGCCAATGAGCTTCCACCTGACGTAGCGGTCGAGCCCCCACCTGAAGCACCTCCTTGCCAATGGCCTCCACCTCCGCACGGCCACGGCGCAGCTGCACGATTATCTTCCCCACAAGCCATAAGTTCATTTGTCTTGACCCACTCCCACATATCAGCGAGATGGATTTAATAGGGGGGGGGGGAGCGGTATTTTCTCCTCTCTCGCCATAACTGAGGCCCGTTAGCCGCGTAAAACCACATGAAAGTCGGCTTGGATGCACCCAGGCTGCGTAATTCACCCACGACATCCGGGACCCACGTTGGTCGCCTTAGGCTGCGAATACCGCCATCGCTAGACTCACTGGAAGCGAGCGAGAGCCCAGCACGCGTATTCACAGGATAGTTCATGGTATA